ATACATCGATGAGGTCTGCCAAGGTCGGCTCCCAGACTACTCGGACTACGATGCTCTGCCATACGTACACGCACTCGTACGTGAAAGCCTGCGGTGGAATCCAGTAGTTTCCTTGAGTGTGTACTCGCCTGCTCTCCATGAAATGCAACTCACGAAGGAGTCGAAGATCTTCCGCACAGGTGCACCACTGACGACATCTACGAAGAATACCTTATCCCGGAAGGTTCCATCGTCGTTGCGAATATCCAGTGCGTAACCCCCTCCAGAATCAGGTGCCACTCTTTCTCAGAGAGCTCTCAGCGCGATTTTGCACGACCCCACGGCATACCCTGACCCCTCGACCTTCAACCCGGAGCGCTTGCTGTGCCGCACCCCCGATGGCGAGCTCGCGCTAGACCCCAATGTGCCAGATCTATTGCACGCCGCCTTCGGCTTCGGGCGCCGCATCTGCCCTGGGAGATTCATGGCGTACCAGTCCATATGGCTCACTCTTGCGAGCTTCCTCTGCGCATTCCGTATCGAGCGCGCAAAGGACGAGCGCGGGGTGCCCATTGACCCGGGCGGGGAGTACGACTGGGGCTTCACAAAGTGAGCCGTTGTCTTTTGGTGAGAATGCGGGAGGAGAAGCTGACTCTGCGCGCTGTCTAGCTGCCCGAAGCCGTTCCAGTGCATGATACGCTCGCGCACGGAGGAATACGAGACGCTCATTATGCGGGCTGCCAGAGACGAAGAGTGAGCGACTAAGAGGCCTGCTAATGCGACGTTGTCGAACGAGTGCAACTGCTGAATGTCACGCTCTATGCTCCATGCAGTACTGCCATCAAACGAACTGTCTCGCCCCTGTGACATTTGAAAGCAAGTCATGTGTACATTTGAGGACAATGGGATGTGGGGCAAAGAAAGACACCAGCGAATTTCAGCTCCTACTCTCAACGTCGTCCAGGGATGGGCGCGAGCCTCGGCAGGTGCCGCGCCACGACGTTCCGTGCCACCGCCGCGGTCTCAATATGATGCATCCCAGCGCGAGTTCCGAGAGGCTAACCTAGTCCATAGGCAACAGTGCTCCAGAGCGGCCCAAGGCAGATCCAAGCACACCAGAGAACCCCGACACGCCAGCTCACTCCACAGCGACAACAGCAAGTTCTCCGACGTCGATGACACCAAATCCGCCCTCCTCGTGCAGGCCGTCTATGAGCTCGGTCGAGACCAGCTACGAAGCGAGAAGGTGTAAGGGCAGAAGAACGAGAGGGAAGGGAGGAGACAGCCACGCACCCGGAGACCCATCGTAGCTATGAACGAAAGCGAGCCGCCACGCCAGATGGGCATCATCGCCACATCAAGCGATCCATACCTCTCTCCAATCTCTGCAACCAAAGTCAGTATTGCCTCGTGAGATCACGAGAGCCATAGACGCACCAGCAAATGCTGGGCAAGGTCCCCCATGCGCCATGTAGCCAGTGTCTCTGGCGATTCTAGTTAGCCAAGACCCGACGCCTCGTTCCAATGAGCAGCTTACCCCCCGTGGTATACAGCTGCCCTCCTCCCATCTCCAATATCTTGATGTACAGCCCAGCTAGCCCACAGCGTCGGTCTCTGGTCGAGTAAGCTTCTGCCTGGTGCTGCCCATCAGAACTTGCGCCATTGACTACACTGAGTGAGGGCACTCACCACTGCCATGCTGTGCGAGCGCACATATAAACTTGGCAGTTGGATGCCTCTCGCTAGCGCGCAGTTATACACTTTCGTGCCAGTCTAGTTCGACGATGTGTCCGACGGGTATGCCGCCGCTGCGAAACCACAATCCCAGTCCGAGAGGTGCGACAAATGTGACATGCTCGCCCTTCACCTTTCATATGCGCTCCATTGTAGGCCAATCTAGGTGGTCATAGCTGCACGAACGTAGAGCTGTCCCGTAAGACGCAAGCAGAGGAGATCACACAAAGCAGCCGGCTCACTGGTTGTGGCTTGTGACAACGTACTGAAAGTCCGGAAGCTGGTCGAGGTCGCAAGGCGGCGGCAGCCTTCTTCGCGGGCCCGCAGCCTGGTGCGGCGAGGCGCACTCGGACTAGATGGAATCGAACAGGATCCGGACGGGCTCGAGCTCTGGGACCTGTGGAAGCTGGAATAAGAGGCCAAACGCACGTGTTAAAAAGCAAGAATACCACGCACCACATGTCCGAGCCACGTCGCCTTGGTCCTCCCTTCGTCCGGCGTGCGCGCCCCAAAGTCAGGGCGTACGACGCGGATGTGCTTGATGTCGTACCACTCGATGCGCTTCGCGAGGGCGAGCGGGAGCTGCGCAAAGACCTGGCGTGAAGCGAGCAGCGACTTGGGCGGCCAAGGGTTTTGGAACGCTGTTGCGTCCGCGTTGGCGTGATGCGCCGGCGGGTCGGTGTCGGGGACGTCCATCGTTCGGTGGCTCGAGCATGTCGGTGTGGGTTGTTAAAAATGTTCAGGATGAAGTGTGGTCAAGGTATGTTGAGAGCAGGACATGTATGTGCAGAACGAGGTGTGTCCACCATGGCCATGGTCGTGGTAGATGGTCGTGAGCGCAGGTACGGCCGTGGCTGGCGCGCAGGGATGCGTCATTGCATGGGTTAGGGTTAGGTACCGGAACGAGTGCTCAGAATTTAATTGAAGGCCCTTTCTCTAACCACCAAGACGCGGCTACTAGCTAACACTCTTCTCCAGCCCACGCGTACAGTAGCTCAGAGGAGAGTCACCTTGATACCAGCCTCTCCATGTGATACATGCTATTGGGAAGACGGTACACATGATAAGCTCCAGCTCTGGTGGTCTGATTCTAGCGCTCGGACATGGTTCAGGTGTCCGATGTGAGCAGGGTGCATGTGTTCTCAAAGATCTTCGGGCCCTTTAGCTGATATTGCGAGCAGTGATATATACTGTTCTCGATGCTTGATAGATGTACACCGGGACAAAGTCTGTCTTCCTCAGCCCGGTTAGATGGTCACCGAATCCTTGACCATCGTGTTCTACATCGCAGCCTTCGTCTCGGCGTTCGCGCTCTATGTTTACACTACTAGACAACGTCTCCCGCCTCAGCCCCCAGGACCAAGTGGTTGGCCTATCATCGGAAATCTGAAGGTCCCCGATGAGCCTTCCTACAAGGAGTACCGACGGTGGAGCGAAGAGTACAGTGTGTGCTTGACATCCTTTGGAATTCGTCCACTGACTCTCTGTAGGCTCGGACATCGTCCGCATCAACGTGCTGGGCACGAATATCGTCGTGACAAACACGCTCGAGGCGTCCGCGGACCTACTCGATAAGCGTTCGCTGATATACTCCAACCGGCCGACCCACGGGTTGACGATGATGCGAGACCTGTATGCACGGCTCGCCGTTCTGCACGCGCTCGGCCTTGACTCCTGATTGTTCTGTATTAGCTGTGGCTTTGACTGGGCGGTCGCCTTTGCGCAGCCAGGAAAGTACTGGCGTGAACAGCGGAAGGTCTATCAGCGCGAATATCATCCGCAGGCCATCAAGCGCTACCGGCGGACCGAGACGCAGGCGGCTCACACGTTCTTACATAACTTGCTCGCATCTCCAGAAGACTTCTTCCGGCACACTCGATAGTGAGCTTAAAGTGAACTATGCATTGGTGCCGTGCTGAGTCCTGTGAAGTGTACTCGGCCAAGTTTTGATATACAGTGCTTACGGAGTTAAGACGAAGAATCATGACGATCCCTTGATTGCGACTGTGGAACACGGAGTCGAAGCAGCGGTTGCCGCGATGAGTCCTGGCCAGTTCCTCGTCGATATCCTTCCCATAAGTGAGACAAAATGTTCTAGCCTCGCAAAAGGAATTGCTAACGGAACGACATCGCTCACAGTGAAATACATCCCAGCATGGTTCCCCGGCGCAGAGTTCCAGCGAAAAGCAAAGGTGTGGCGTAAGTCTGTCCACAAGCTGCTCCACGTACCCTTTACGCTGGCGAAGAACCTGCAAGTGCGTTCCCTTCTGCCAGATATTCTGTGATGTACTTCCCTGAGTAAACCCGCACGTAGGATGCCAGCGAGTTGCCCGACGACTGTGCGGCGAAATCCTTCCTGGCTGATGTCATCCCCTCCTCCGCCGATCCCACATATATGGAGTACGTCGTCCGTTCGGCCCTGGCAGGAGCATATTCAGGTAGGTATACTCATTCTCAGAACAAGCAATCCCGGCGCTGAACACATTCACAGCTGGTACCGACACGGCAAGCGACTCTTCATCTGACAACCGTTGAAAATGCTTACCCGTTCCTCGTGCAGACCGTGTCCGTTCTCCAGTCGTTCTTCCTCGCCATGACACTCTACCCTGACGTGCAGAAGGAGGCTCAGCGCGAGATCGACAGTGTTTGTCGTGGACGCTTGCCCGACTTCTCGGACTACGACGCCCTGCCATACGTGCACGCCATTGTCAAGGAGATCCTGCGGTGGAACCCTGCCGTGCCTCTCAGTCAGTGACTCCACACGACCGCATGACGACAGCTGTTCACTGACGGCCTCACAGACATCGTGCACGCCTCTGCGCAAGACGACGTCTACAGGGGCTACTGCATCCCGAAAGGCTCGCTCGTCGTCGCAAACATCTGGTACGCCTTCTGCTCCTTGCTCTTGTCCCATCCGCTTACTTTGCGAACGCTGCAGGGCGATATTACACGACCCAGCCGTCTACGCCGACCCTGAGTCCTTCTGCCCCTCCCGCTTCCTGCGCAGCGACACGAATCCCACTCCCGAGCCGGACCCCGACGCTGCCTACGGCTTCGGTCGGCGCATCTGCGCGGGGCAGTACCTCGCACACGAGATGCTGTGGATCACCATCGCGTCGGTGGTGGCCGCGTTCGACATTGTGAAAGCGAAGGACGAAGCCGGGCGCGAGATTGTGCCGCCGGGAGAGTATCATTACGGGTTTATGCAGTGCGTATCACACTCTTTTTCGCTGTTGCCACAGGCTCTTCTTATCAGAGTGGGACGGCTGACTGCGGTGGACAGGTTGCCAAAACCGTTTCGGTGCGAGATACGCCCCCGGTCGGTGGAGCACGAGAAGCTTGTGTTGGGTGCCGTCGATCTCTGAACAACGCCGCGGCGTCACGCCCCACTCTGGCTGTCGGGAACGGCGTTTGTTGTGTCGGGCAGCCAAATACAGGCAAAAAATAGCGACGCTTACCATCAACCAGACTCTCCCTGTCCCTATATAACTGTTTGTTCCGTCT